TAGATGATTTCGTGGTTTACTGTGACGTTTTGATCACGGGCATGGGTACGGTACTGATATAATGGGGTCACGTGATAGCAGGTTTCGGGAACCAGGTTAGAGTTCCGGTTAGGACTCGAGTTCAGTTGAGGGTTAGGTCGAGTGCGTGTTCGACCAGGTTGGGAAAGTGTTGTAAGACTACGGGGGTAGCCGTAGCATTCACTAGCAGTCGGAATGGTATGGAGAGTGTTGTGAGTCTGCGGGTGTAGCCGTAGCATTCACTAGCAGTTAGATAGTGTGAGGAGTGTTGTAAGTCTGCGGGTGTAGCTGTAGCATTCACCAGGTTAGCGGATAATGCTAGAGTGTTGTAAGTCTGCGGGTGTAGCCGTAGCATTCACTGGGTTGGTAGATAGCATGAGCGCGTTGTTAGGACGCGAAAGGAACAGGAGTACACACCAGTCAGGTGTAGCAGTGAGGGCGTGGCAAATCCACGGATTGGTTTATGGATTTCCCTAGAGGAAGGTTAAGCCAGTGATAAGACTGTAGGAACGTCACTATAGTTATGAGATCAGGGAAGCAATGGACTGCTTAAGGTCATTTGTGATATAAGGCTACCATCGGTTAGGTGACAATCACTTTTAGCCTTGGATTTGGTGACGTCAGGATTTGACGCATGGACCTGACCAGTTAGATCGGAAGGTTATTAGAGCCTCAGTGGCATGATAACTAGTGGCAACTAGTTCAAGAGAGGGATTTCTTTCGAAAGTCGTGTGAGGCGACTAAGTGGGAGCCCTTTCGGCTCGGCGACCGGGCCAGAAACCGATATTTCAGATGACTGACGGATGAATTGAGACCAGGAAGGTCTCGAGAGATTTTGGGAAGCATCTATGTAGTAGCATACTACTTCAGGCAGTTCAGTGATTAAGCAGTTTCAGCGTTTGGGCAGTGTTAGCATTTGTGCTTCAGGTTGCGAGTACGGACAGAATAGCTAGATGATTTGGGGAGTGACAAGTCACTCACAGCAGGAGTATCTGATCCTTGGATAAGTATAAGTGGTCTGCAAGGATAATTGGGTCTGTGACCCTGTTTTATAGTGGGAACCTCGAGTTGTCAGAATTTGGGTAGTTAGTTGAGGGATAAGCAGACTAGTACCATCTATAATGATTCGGTATGAGTGGTCTGTCTGGGATTCACACCATCTCGATACAACAGATTTCCGACGCAGTAGATGTTGTCTTGTCGCGAGGAATTCGTTCACCTGTGGATTTTAAGGCTTTGCGAAGATTGGTTACGGCTACCCTAGGAAGGCTAGGGTGTGCCCAAGACGGTGATCATGTTACTAGAAGTGGTTTGGCATATAAGAAGTAGTAAGGAGTGATTTCGAGGACGAAATCTAATTTAAGTGGGGGAGAGTTGTAACACCCGTTTATTTATTAGTTAAATAAATAAATTAGTGAACGAGTGGCAACCTAAAATAAATAATTATATATGCAGAGTGTGGTTTCAAGGAGTAAATTGGCATAATTTAATAATTGATGGTTAAAAGTGTAAGTTCCGGATTGGTTTTGTAAATATTTATGAAGGTAGGGACCACTTGGTACATTATTGGGACTTAAGATGGTTAGATTATGAGAAGTAAGGGCTAAATGGTAAATTTCGGACTCTATTTGTAAAGATTTTAGAAGATGGGGGCTGTTTAGTAAAATCCGGACTTAGTTTGCAAAGAAATTCAAGGGGCAGGGTTTAAAGGGGAAATATAGGGCCTATTTCGAAAATAATTATGAAGAGAGGGGCCGATAGTGTTAAAATGGGAAGAAGTTTGAAGGGACTCGGGTACGCCTCATGCAGCCTCCATATATATACTTGGTGCATAAGAAACCCTAAACCTAGAAAAACCCTTCCAGCCGTCACCCCTTATGCCTCCCTCCACACCAACCGTCACCCCTTATGCCTCCCTCCACACCAGCCGCCACCCCTTCTTCACTCACCTCCGGAGTCGCCTCTGTAACACTCCAGTGAGCCAAGAGCGACTGCCATCACGACTCCGATGAAGGGATCGAAGCTCGACATCGTGGCTGATGTCGTTTTCTCAACCACCGCCGCCGACGACGAAGCCGGAGGCCGCTGTCGCCGTCGTTTGGTTCTTCCTCCACTGCTCCCGGCGACAGATCTCCTCTTATTTCCGCTCCGTTCTCATGTTGCATCCCAAGCCACCGGTCGCCGCTGTTTCGCCATCCTCGTGCCCTTCTCCAGCCGCCTCGTTGCTAGACTCGATGTCGCGGATAACCGCGGCTGTCGCCGCCTTTCGCGCCGCTGCCACCGTCGGACGTTATGTTGCTATGGCCGCCATCGTCGAGAGCCACCAGGTGGGTGGCTAAACCATTGAACGGATTCATTACTGCTGCGTGGTCGTGAGCAACCGGAAACCCTCGGGAGCGGGAAGGAAATTCATCGCAGCCACCTGCTGCCGCCATGCGCCACCTGTTGCCGCCTTGCGCCACCACCGGCCACCATAGGGTGGCTGTGTATGTTTATGTTGTTTAGTGTATGTGTTTATTTTGAGTTTCAGCATTGTAAAGTGTAAATTACAAATTGAATAATGGAAAGAAACTAAAAACCACCACCTTAGGGTGGTGCCTGTCGCCTTCTGCCGCCACCGGCCGCCGTGTCGGGTGGCGATGTGCCTTGTTGGATCGTGACTCCTTTGGAATGTTTGGACAAAGGGACTAAGAAACCCTAATGGGCCCAATGAGGCTTAATGGGCTTAATAAACCCTAATGGGCCTAATGAAGCTTAATGGACCTAAAAGCCCAAACAGATGACCAATGAGTCTAATGAACCTTAATTGATCAAAGGACATATCAATTGGGCCTATTGGGCTAAGATGGGGTTGGAAACCCTAATTAGGGTTTAGAAAAACCCTAATATTAGATTTATGGGCTTGGACTTATTGAGGCCCACTTTTGGGCCATTGGAATAATGGAATTGTGTGATTAAGCCCAATCACACCATATAACTTATTTAGAAGAATGATGGACTTAATGGATTAAGTCCTTAATGGGTTAAGTGAGAAACACTTAATCCTAATCGTCATTTTATGTGAAACCCTAATTTCACATGGGTGTATTGTTGGGCCTTCTATTGGGCCTTGATGATTGCGTTATTAATGGGCCATCCAAAGTCAAGCAAATTGACTAGAATATTTAATGGGCCTAGGGTAAGGCCCATGTAAGGGGTTTGGGCCCAATTTGGAAAATTGGGCCATAGATGGGCCATAGTTTGGGCCTTAATGGTTATATGATTTTGGGCCATAGAATGTCGAATGTTGGACTGGACTTTTGGTTGGGCCTCAGAATGAGACCATGTGAAGGTTTGGGCCCAATTTGGAAAATCGGGCCATATGTTGGGCTTTGAGCCATAGTTGGACTTTTGGGCTTTGGATTGGGCCTTGGGCTTGAATAAAGCCTAGCACGGGGTAATGTAGTAATTATCCAAAGTATGTACTTATGGTTATGTAGTGGAACCCAATTATTAATTGGGTGTTATTTTGGTGTTGACAGTTCGGGAATCTGTCAGCCAGCAGCTGGGGTTGAGTCTGCGGGACTTCAGCAGTGTGGTATTGTGTCTACGGTACTTCAGCAGTGTGAGGTGAGTTACCTTCCAGTAGCGGTGGGTCTACGGCCACAATGCCGACCCACCAGTAGGAGTTGTATGTTAGATGATTGTCTTTGTGATATTCATCTAGGTTTGCTACTACCTGATATGTTATATGCTGGCATGATATGTTATATGTGATAGTGATAGTAGGGGGAGAATAGTCCCCAAGTTCGGTTGCTAGGACCGAAGGGTAGGTCGGGCACCCCAGATATGTTTGACAGTATGTTATGATATGTTTATATGCTGGCATGATATGTTATATGTGATAGTGGTAGTAGGAGGGGAATAGTCCCCAAGTTCGGTTGTTAGGACCGAAGGGTAGTTCAGACACCCCAAATATGTCTGATAGTATGTTTATGTTATGATATATGTGATAGTAGTAGTAGGGGTGGAATAGTCCCCGAGGTTCGGTTGTTAGGACCGACGGGTAGGTCAGCACCCCAGAATGGCTTGACACGGGTAGGTCAGCACCCCATAATGGCTTGATACGGGTAGGTCAGCACCCAAGAAAGGCTTGACATGGGTTTGTCAGCACCCCAGAATGGCTTGACATAGGTAGGTCGGCACCCCAGAATGGCCGGACCAGGTAGGTCGGGCACCCCAGAATTGCATGGCAGTATGTATGTTATGTGATTGTATGGTATGTGGTATAATGGGGGAACTCACTAAGCTTCGTGCTTACGGTTTACAGTTTTGGTTTCAGGTACTCGTTTTCAAAGGAAAGGAGCCGGCTCGATCGCAGCGCATCACACTATGGTTTTCCGCATATGAGATCTTTGGGATTACACTCTGATATTGTTTTTTTTAATAACATGTTTTGATTATTTCTACTTTGGTTTTGGCATGCCATGATATTATGGATGTTTTATTATACTGTTGGTTTTATAATAACGTATTTAAAAATGTAATTTTTGGCCTTGAAAATTGGGATGTTACAGTCGTAGTGGTGGTGGTTGTTATGTTGGCCAGTGTCGGTGGTTGTATTGTTGACTGATGATGGTGGCGTTGATGAAGGGGTATAAGGTGGAGAGAGAGAGAGAGTATTTTCTTTTTCATTTTTTTTTATTTATGTAATAAAAAATTGAAAAAAAGAAAATACAACGGCAAAATCGTCATTATAAAAAAGTTCAAAGCAAATTGGACCAAACTCGCAACAAAATGAAAAGTTTGGACCTCTAGTGCTAGTCCAAACTTTTTTGGACTAAAGTGACAATTTTCAGCTAACCATAGGGACCATTTGTGCACTTTACTCATGTAGATATTTTTTTTCTTTAGCCATTGGTCTATTCATTTTTCGTTCCTTACATTCAAACCAAGCCCATCGATCAAAACCCTCATTATTCACTCTCAATCTTCACGGCGGCATGCAGATCTTCGTCAAAACCCTCGCGGGAAAGACCATTACCTTGGAGGTCGATAGTTCGGATATCATTGATAACATCAAAGCCGAGATTCATGACAAGAAAGGTATTCGACCTGATCAGCAGAGGCTCATTTTCACCGGAAAGCAGTTGGAAGATGGCAAAACCCTAGCGGACTACGATATTCAGAGGGAATCGACCCTTCATCTCATCCTCCGTCTCCGTGGTGGAATGCAGATATTTATCAAAACGTTAACGGGAAAAACGATCACCCTGGACGTTGAAACTTCTGATACGATTTACAATCTTAAGGCTAAGATACAAAAAAAGGAAGGGATCCCTCCAGATCAGCAGAGGCTTATCTTTTCCGGCAAACAGCTAGAAGATGGGCGTACTCTTGCTGATTACAGTATTCAGAAGGAATCCACGTTGCATCTCGTCCTCCGTCTTCGTGGCGGGATGCAAATCTTTGTCAGAACGCCAATGGGCAAGACCATTACTTTGGAAGTTAACAGCTCGGAGACAATTGGTAAAATGAAGTCGAAGATTGAGGAAATAGAGTGGATTGAACCGCAACATCAGCTTTTGACCATGGAAGAGAAGGCCCTCGAGGGTTCTAGAACTTTGGCTGATTATAATATCGAAAAAGAATCTACATTGCACTTGAGTCTTTGGTTGAGAGGAGATATGCGGATTTTTGTTAAGACTTTGACAGGGGAGACTATCTCATTGGTGGTGGACAGCTCTGAGACCATTGGTAATGTGAAGAAAAAGATTCGTAAGATAGATGGGACTCCAATTTCTCGATATAGTTTGATCATTGCTGGAAAGAACCTAGACGATGGTAGAACTTTGAGAGATCAAAACATCCAAAACGGATCTACATTGCACACGACTCTGAGGTTTAAAGCAGGAGGTGAGATGCAGATTTTTGTTTGGACTTTGACAGGTAAGACCATCTCACTAGTGGTGCACAAGCATGAAAACATTGGTGATGTGAAAGAAATGATTCAGGAAAGAGAGGGGATTCTACCTTGTCAACAGCGGTTGATTTTTAAAGGAAGTCAACTCGATGATGGTACAACTTTGGCCGATCATAACATCAAAAAATAAATCTACATTGCACTTGATTGTGAGACTGCTAGGAGGCATTTTTCAGATTTTAATTAAGACATTTAAAGGAAAGATCATCACGCTGGAGGTGAACAACTCGCAGACAATTGGTGATGTGAAAGCAAAGATTCAGGAGAAAGAGGGTATTCCATGGCGTCAACGGCTTTTGATCATTGATGGAAAGATCCTAGAGGATGATAAAACTTGGGAGGATCATAACATCCAACATCGGTCTAGATTGGAACTGGTTGTGAGGTTGGGAGGAGATACTACGCCAATTTTTGTTAAGACTTTGACTGGGAAGACCATCAAGCTGGAGATGGAGAGATCAGAGGACATTGATACTGTGAAGTCAAAGATTCAGGAAATAGAGGGGATTCCGCATCAGCAACGTTTGACCATTGCTGGAAAGAACCTTAAAGATGATGTAACTTTGAAGGATTATAACATCAAACAAGGATCAACATTGGATCTGTTTATGAGGTTGGGAAAAGGTAATATGCGGATTTTTGTTAAGATTTTGACATGGAAAACCATCAGCCTGGAGGTGGAAAGCTCGGACACTATTGATAGTTTGATGGAAATGATTGAGGAGAAAGAGGGAATTCCAGTTGATCAGCAGGAGCTTATATTTGATGGGAAGAAACTAGATGGGTGGACTTTGGCTGATAATAATATTGAGCAGGATTCTACTCTGAACCTTCTCCTGCGAGTAAGTGTAGGTGGTCAATCATGAAAACAATGTATCTTCATTGTGCATTGTGTTAATGATACCAAACTCTGAATCTGGGAGATAATTTACTGGAAACTTTTTCATATTGGTGGAAACTAGTTTAGTATGTGTGATTAGATATGTTGATACTAACGATATTGCTGGCTGTATTTCTTGTTGGTGCTCTTGCATAGTTGTAGTTATGGAACCTTTATTTTGTATACAAAGGTATGATGCTTGACTGCAATGTGTCAATGTGTTACTGTTATTGGTGTATTATTTGGTTATTGTTTTTCATAACATTGGTTGTGTTGCATGAAGCTGAAGAAGAAAGGAGAGCGACTGAGGGGCAAAGGATGGATGAAATTCAGTGAAGTTTTTCTTTATTCTTCTCAATATTACAGGCCATTTAGATGAACACATAGTGTTTGATAAAAGTCCCAGGGAAATGTGTATTTGCCATATGAATGAGCTACTATGTAACCAGTTAGAAGAGGGTTAATCACAAAACTAACATATTAGGTGTGTTATCATAAGAAAAACCACTCATAGACTCACCTTTTAAGCTAATAATACATGTTTGACAACTAAAATTGCAACTTTAGGTGATTGGGTAAGGGACTAAGGGTAAGTAGATACTTTAGGTGTTCTGTTGCTTCTTCTTATTGGTATATTTTGAGAACTAAAATACAAACTCTAAATGTAATGAGTTTCGCATTATATTTTGATATTGTAATGTATGTGAACTAGATTATCACCCGCGTTAAACGCGGGGGAAATGCATAAAAAACATAGAATTGTATAAAGATATTGCACAATATTTATCAAAAACAATTATGATTATTGATGTTATTGAAATATGTATAAAAAACATTGAAATTGGTAAATATCTATAATCGTTGAAGGACCTCTTTGTAGACAATATGTTTTGTTTTATTAGTTGAACGAATTTCTTTGTCATAAATGAAATCTTAGTTGCTAATTCATGTCAACACATGTCATTTCAACATTGTAATTTAAGTTCTTTTCATAATAAGACAATGTACTTTAGAGAATCTACTCAAATTAAAGCATACTTTCGTTTTTTTCATACCTAGATAGCAATTGCGTTGTATATGAATGACATTGCTATACATTGATAGAATTTTCAAAATACAATATTATAATTAGGAAAAAAAATGTTAGTAAGATGCTTAATAAACAAAAAACAGTGAAAGTTAATTGTTAATTTTTGCAAAAAAAAAAAAAAAAAAAAAATTTAGCAGAAATAATGATATAATAAAATATTGGTATGCTTTATACAACTTTTAAATTGTACATCCAATTTCTTTTTTAAAATTTTTTTATCAGTTTAACCTTTTTGCAATACAATATTATACCCAAAGCGACTCATTTTTTAGAATCGTATTAACTAATATATAAAAAATGATTATAAGAAATAACAACATAAACTTAATTATTTTTGTAATACAGAATCCTACTTTAAATTCTTTCTATTTCAACAATATACTTTCAGTTTTATTATTAAGACATTGCGAATTATAACATTTTACGTTTACATTTTTCTACAGTGAAAATTGATTTGTATATGGATGACATTTAATAAATGGGTAGATTTTCCAAAGTACAACTCTATAATAAACAAGTCAAGGAAAGTACATTGTTATTTCTTGCATCCAAATCAAATCTTACATTTTTCTACCGATTATAATTTTTTTGAAAAGATTATTAATCAGATTTAAGAAAATAGTCTTTGATTTTAACATAAAAACCAAAACTTTTGCGAAGGAGAATAAAAAATGGGAAGTCAAAAATGGTATTTGATTTTCATGTACCATATTTGATGAGTTCTATAGGGTTTGTTTGAATAAGAACTTGTCTCCCATCAAGATAAGTAAGAACAAACTGAAACCAACAAAGAGCTTCAGTTAAGCTATGTAACATCTTCCAATATTGATTATTTCAGATACAATGAGACTTTAAATGGTTGCCTTTTGTTTATGTTATCAAATTTGGAGTTATTAGCCACCAAATTCCTGAAATAATAGGAAAAAACTTCAATATATAAGTTATAATTAATAGGCTTACAATGAAACATAACTCATTTTTGAAAATGAAGAATAATGACACTAAAACAAAGAAGTAAGCATACCATTACGTATCAGAATGACATCCAAATGATACATATGAAAGAAGTTTCACATGATGAGTTCTCCGAAAAATTTTAATTTAAATATCAAACTTATGGAATTTAAATTCAGTGAAATATTGTTAAAAAGAATTACTAAAATCTCAACCAAACCCCAAAAAATCAAATATTTGACTCTACTCTATCTAATGAAAGAAACAAAGGAAATGTAGGTTTCTTTGTAAAATTTTGTCAAACACCTGGTGGTTACTATAGTCAAGAAACTTATAAACATTGTGTATTTTTTTACTTCTAGGAAAGCATCCGGTACTTATTAGGAGTTTAAAGAAAAAGATAAATGTCGCATGGAATTTGGATGAGGCTTCTTGCACTTGATCAATATAAAAATAGAAAACAACCCTTATAATGTAATTTACTCATTTCGTTGATTATACCTATTTGCTTAGAGCAACTTCATCAAAATTGCCCCCTCCCACACTAAAAGCAAACTGTGTAAATTTGGAAATTAAAGAAAAAAATGTAAGTTCGGTTGATAAATTTAAGCAAAAATTCTTCAATACTAACATGGTTAGTAAATTATAGAAAAAAATGTGAATTAGGAAATTGGAAATTTTAGAGGTTACTAAACCTGATGAACCAAAGCATTGCTCAAGTTTGAGTTAAAAATAAACCTTTTAGGGTATTTTCGATTCCACCATCGAGCAGCCATGAGGAAGACCCAAAATCAAAACCACTTCTCTGGAATTAGAAATAAAATATAATTGTAATATGAACAAAATGTTGTTGCCTTTTACCTTTAGTTTGGATTGCTTTGTCCATATGTCCCGGTGCAAGCTCTATTAATCTTGTAAATATGTCGATTAGGCATTACATAGAATTATAGTGTTATAAGATTTCATCAAGGATCCCTACAGTATGACAATTCAAAATAATTCACGAAAGGTTATAATAGACAACAGTTCGATCACTTAGAATTAACCATAAAGTCTAAACTAAACATAATTAACCAGAAATAATTTAATAGAAGATCTAGCCTTGTTGAAAGGGACTGACAACCTGAACCAACAACCAAAAGCATGTCAAAATGAATATTGATGACCTAAAAAGACCATGAAGAAATCCAAGAGTCTAACCAACATAACATTAAGAAAAAACAGAAAAAAAAAGATTAATTTTGTCACTAAATTAATCTTCAACTATACCTTTGATAAAAGTAAGTCCCAAATATAAGTAACACTATTTCTTTTAACATCATTCAAAATTCTGTGAATTTATTGGTCTCAGAGTCTACAATTGACTTTTTTTACCTTCTAATTCCTATTATCCTAATTCTGATTGTAGCTGAAGCAAATGAGTAAGTCATTGTCAGTGTAACATATAAAGACAAAAAGTCAAACCTTCCATTGACTCAACAAAGCCATAGGACAAACAATGAGTATTCCACCTCGTGGTATTTTTTGAGAAGTTTTATTCTACTTTTTATGAAATCTTTTTTTCCCTCAATTTCTAGGGTTCCTTTTCGTGTTCTTGCAAGGATCAAAGAAATTGTCATCACAGATTTACCAAGTCCTATTGCATCGGCTAATATCTGTACAATTTTAATCAAATCACAAAAAGAAAAAAAATCATTATTATGTGTATTTATTATCAAACTAAATACTTTCATTTATTTGTGTGTCATAGCATCTAACTTTCTTTTTTTCTTTTAAAACATTTTACTTTTAACTTTTTTCTTATTAATAAAATTTACATTGAAGAATTCACTCAATTACAACATTAAAGCTTCGATCTTTTTTTATTACGACATTATACTTTAAAAAATCTACACTTTGTATTTGGATTTTTAAGGTTTAATCTCATAAAAGACCTTATATTTTGTGTTTTTCCAGATTAAACCTCAATTTTTTTTTCTTGAAAAAGACCTTGTATTTTTTTGGTTTTTCCTGATCATACCCTTTTAGTTATTTTTTGTTGAAAGCTTGTAGAATGTGAGGATTTTTTTGAAAAAACAAAATAAATTTGAGGATTTGTTCGGAAACAGTTAGAAGGTTGAGGGTTTTTTTTTTAAAAAAATGAAAATATACATGGTCTTTTTAAGAAAAAAAAAATAAAGTTGAGATTTAATCCGGGAAAAATAACAAAATATAAGGTCTTTTAAGAAATTAATTTGATTTTTAAAGTACAACGTTGTAACAAGAAAAAATTAAAGTATGACACTTTAATAAATAAAGCAATGGAAGTGAAAGTACATTAATATTTCTTGTAATTAATGGTTGTTTTTGTTGCTTTTGGCAATTTAGTAGTTTCTTCCCCACATAACATACTTACATAAATTGAGTGGCCCTTCTGTTAAAGTAAATAATTTATTAATTAAAAAAAGGAAAATTTTCTTTATATAATTAAAATTTGAGATTTAAAGTATCATACTCATCACATATAATATATGCACCCCAACGTGGACGAAGTGTTTCTTCTGCTTTTTCAACATCCATACCTTTCTCTGATTCTGTCATCCAATAAAGAGCTTGTTATTGATATCGTCTTAGATTACATGTAAGGGTAGTTGGAGGATCCATTTCTTACAAAAAGACAAGGGCTTTTTTGTCATTTTTATGAAAAATGAAGTACCATTGATGGTTGTACTTCATTGATTTGTATATTAAAGAAATGAAAGTAGAAATGGTATAAGGCACAAATAAATGAAAGTGTGTTGATGTTTCTTGCATTTATTTCTAAGATTAATAGACAATAGCTAAATTATTTTAAATATCCCTCTAAGTTGTGCATGTCAGCAACTCCAACAAGCTTGTTTAAAGATGATTCAGAAAGAATTTAGGTATCTTTATTGGATTCTATGAGGTTCACCACCTTTTTGTCTTTTTACCATAGTGAATGTTGATGCAACTTCATTTATATCAGCCTGTTTAAAACAATTCATATACATTAATTAAGGTACAAAAAGATAGAAAATGATTATGTGATAATAATTAATTAAAATGTTATGATTATTATAATACAGAATGCTACAAGAAATAGTGTTTAGATTGCTTGTGTATACTTATGTATACTTTGGATCAATCACTATTATTTATTTCAATTGCTTGTGTACATAAACTAGTTGCCTGGTAGCGATAATAATTATGATCTGCCGAATCATGAATCAGGGAAACCCAAAATCATTACAAACCTATGATGTGGACCGATACTAATCAAGTTACGATTTTT